CAAAAATGCACACACTTCACTTGGCATCTCCAGCACCTGCAGCTTTCTGTGCCTGGTCTGTTTAGGCATCTCCATTTTCTGCAGGATTATTCCCCTCCTTGCCAGCGTCAGCTTTTCCCTTTTTCCCTTTGGGTACCTTCTCTCCCTTCTTTGCAGGGGCCTTTTTAGGCTTGGGCTCTGGCTTTGGAGGAGCAGGTTTAGCAGACAACCTTGCGGATCTTCTCTGTGGTTCGTCCTTTGCCTTGGCTTTATCTCCTTTAGCATCCCCTTCAGCCTTTCTCTTGGGCATGGTGGCAAAGGCGGCGGGACGTAGGCGCTGTACGCGGGGATGCAGCGACGCGCGAGCTTTGGTCGGTCGGGGGGTCGTTCTCGCCTCCTCTTCTTCACACTGCTCCATGTGAATCTTTCTAAATGTAGAATATGAATGTCTTAACACAATAACTAAGAAAATGACATGAAGGCTATGATGAAAATATTTCAGATTGTATATATAACCAGAACACTATACTCCATGACTGCATTAATGTACATAGCTATGATTTAATAATAAAAAAAAAATACAGAGTCCGTGTCTCATAATTCCCAATAACTAAGTTATCTGTAGATCTATTTCTATCCTTTTAATTTTTGGTCCTGTTTCTTGTTACACCTGGAATTTTTAATTTTTTAATTAAACGCTGGACATTGTTTTTGAAAATTATAGGACTTGAAGGATGCCATATTCTTCCAGGCAAGGATTACACTGTCTCAATGCTAGGTCTTATGCTAGACTTTGAGGAAACAGAAGTGAGTAGAACAAACAAAAGTCCTTGCTTCATGGAGTTTATGCTGTGGTAGGAGAAATAGGCAATAACAAATGACTATATAGTAGTCAAGTTAAGTAGTGATAAATGGATTTATCACGGGGTGATAAATCCGGTTGGATTGGGGACATATTTTTGAGGGTAGAACCAACAATTCCAATAATGGCTTTGATGTAGGGTTTGTAGAGATGATTGTAAAGCTTAAACTCCAGGTCTTGCCACCTGCACTAGCCCATCCAAAATTAATGTGCTTTTTTATACCTAGTTCTGTAGCTTTTTTCCTACCGAGATCCTCTCCCTCTCCACCAGTGTATACTATATGATTCAGTTCCCCCAAAATCTGAACCTTCCCTGGGGTCTGAGAGAAAAGGAGAGTTAAGAATGGTGGTTTTCTTTCCTAGGTCTTAGCCAGCAGGATGGGAGGAATGGCAGTGCCATTTCTGAACCATGGTACTCTGGGAAAAGAACAGGTTGCAGAGCACTAAATAAAATCTTAACTTCTCATATCCCATTCATACAGACTCCTTCCTTCCCACATTCCAAACTTCTGTTTGTGAAATCCTAGCAGGTTACCATGGTCTTTCCTGTGCTTTCTTTTTAACTGAAACCCTACTCACTCTCCAAGGCTTTCTCTTCCTAACTGTTGGCCTTCTCCCCTGTGATTCAGGGATGGAAAGTTGGCAGCCCCCAGCCGGTCTTGATGACAACTTTAGAGAGAGCAAGGATTCTGCTATTTGACTTGGTCACAGTCATAGCTATGTGATAGCTGCCTAGGTCCTATCATTCTCTGGGTTTATGACCCATGACTTTCTCAGATCGTTTTGCTTGCCCTGCTCCTGTAGCAGCTGCACACTGGGCATGTGATACGTATTAAAATAATGAATCCAGTTAACAAATGCTGTGTTTCCCACCCACGGATACACTCACCACCAGTAGCAATTTGGTCAAGGAAAGTTTTACACTATTTTCATACTACCTTTTTGAAATCCTTTTCCTTTTTTCTTTTCTTTCTTTTTTTTTTTTTTTTTTTTTTGAGACAGAGCCTCAAGCTGTCCCCCTGGGTAGAGGGCCGTGGCATTACAGCTCACAGCAACCTCCAACTCCTGGGCTCAAGCGAGTCTCCTGCCTCCGCCTTCCAAGTAGCTGGGACCACAGGTGCCCGCCACAACACCCGGCTATTTTCTGGTTGCAGCCGTCATTGTTGTTTGGCGGGTCCGGGCTGGGGATTCGAACCCGCCACCTTAGGTGTACGTGGCTGGCGCCTTAGCCGGTTGAGCTATAGGCGCCAAGCCATCCTTTTTTCTTTTCTATTGCTACATTTTTTTCTTTTATGGAGAATTTAAGGCTGGAGAAAAAGGATGCAAGCCTAAGGTAAGAGACTATTACTCATTCACTTGGGTGGTGGGGGTGTTATTCGACCTAATTTCAAACTGTCCTCTGAGTTTATTTTGTGATGATATTTCACATCAATATTTCACATCAATACTGTTACTAGAATCGCTCTGCTAAGTCCTTGGTCTTGGAAATGCAAAGACTGAATTTATGGACCACCACAGGTAAGCGAAAGGATAAATTGTGCTGATACATAAAGGAGAAGGAACACGAAGGTTCCAGCACCGCAGAGGGGCTCCCGAGTGGGCAGCCTGCTTGGCTTTCTGTCTAGGGGATTATAGACAGCTTTTCCTACCCTGCAGGCAGGGGTTTTGGGGAGATTGAATGTATGGCTAAAATATGTCACGACTGTTTGGCACCAGAGATCTATGGGCAGAAATTAATTTTAAAACTACCCATGTGCAGGAATGCCATTCTGTTTGGGGCAATCTGTCTCTTCCTGGGAGTGGCAGCTTGGATGGAACATTGAGCTGGTTTATGAGCCTGTTTGGGCCCAGAAAATGGAGTCTGTGTTCAGCTCTAGGTACTTGCATCAATACCACCCAAATAAAAGGTCGATTTTATCTTCTCCTAGGCTATGGCCATGTGATAGAGGTCAATTTAATTTTAATTAAAAAGGAAAAAGAAGAATTAAATAATTAACCATGGACCATTTGGACAATATTTTATTAATAAAATCCACCCCCAAGTCTAACCCATAGGCCAGCTCGTAGGCACAGGGAGGAATGTAGTGAATCTACTCTCTGTCAGGTAACGTTTCTAAACCTGTGTGTCATCACAAGTGTAAACATATGGCAAAGTCCGTGGGCAGCTGCCACAGAGAAGCTGTGGGGAGAGCAGATGACTCATTGTTTGTTTGGTTTCGTGGCTATAATACACATTCTTGCCAGTTTGTTTTTGTTCCCACTTAATTCCCAACTTCCCATCTTCTTTGTAATGAAAAATCACCTTTGAAAAATAGATTAGCAAACTACCTTCGGTGAGTCCAAACCTCTGACTGATGAGTCCTTTGAATGCTGATTTTGCTGTTGCTCCGGGAAGCAGTCAGAGAAGGGAGGAAGACACAGGTGTGTGTGTCGGGGGGAACTGACCTGACAGACCACTTCTCAGGAGCTTAGAAAATCAGGGAGAGGCTGCTGTGGGGTCAAGCTCTGATTTTCCTCTCATCTCTCTGATGCCAAAATTCTCTTCAAGAAAGTGTTTTGAGGTAACTAGACAGAAAGCATTACATAAATTCAAGTTCTCCAATGTATCTTGGGCCCATGTGTAGGAGAGAGGGAGAGTTAGTATGTGAACTTCACGGAAAGGTAGGAAAATCTTCCTAACCCTATCCTGCCTGTACATCTGACTTTTATACAGTCTCTGAATTCTCTGCTGCTTGGGGCCAGGGCCAGGTGCAGAGGAAATGCCATCTGTCTGCTTGGCAGCTCTGATATCTCCTGTAACTTAGACTCCGTGGCTTTCTACTCTCCTCCAGAGCTCTCATTCTAAGGCACTGAAGGTATCTTTTCAGGCACCTCATGGCCAAATAGCAGGAACAGGTACAAAGCCAATGCTCACACGTAGCCTCTGGTAGAATAGCGGGTGTCTCTTCCCAGCTAGAAGCGGGAAGGAGGCAGGGAAGTACTTCTCTCCAAGATCCAGCTGGCTCTCCTCCTCCTGGAAATGTAGAGACCCTGCCACCACCACCACAGATGCCGTCCATGGGAAAGCACCTGCCCTTCACTGTACAGACCTAGAGTCCAGTGACAGGGTCAGGGCTTGTGTCTAAAGCCGAGTACAGTGCCATTCTCTGCTCACCCGTGGATGCCGGGATGCTCCTTGTCAGCAATGTCTGCCATCTCCAAGGGGAGTCCGTGAGCACTGAGGGGGTTTCCTCTCCTCCGTGCATGGGAGGCTGCTCTGCTCATTTCTTCCCGAACTATATATGTGTGTGTATATACATTCTACACATGAATGTGTATACACAAATACACATACATATACATACATAATAGATATTAGACATTAAATTTATATTACATATATTGAATATATGTACTGTACAAATTATGTGTCATATACACATACATTCATGTGTGTGATTTGCATTCTTATCCATGACCAGAGTAATAATTTACCTTCTTTTCTTTAATAGATAATAAGGTACTCAAATCGACAAGTTGATGAAGCACAAAGGTCTGACTCAGTCTCTTTCCGCTGCAGTTCTGATAAAGAAGTATTCCCTGATACCCTAAGGCATTCATTGTCAGAGATGACTTAACTTTCCTCTAGGCATCTAGAATGGTCCTAGTGATGAATTAACTTGTGTCTGTGCATCCAGAAGAGTACTAGTTATGTGCCATTCCTAAGACCACCATGGGAAAATTTAGAAATAAACACTCATGTAACTTTGTGTCCTGTCCTCCACTCAGTGATGAGCTGTTTTCTCCTGCTCAGAAGGTCAACCAGGTAAGCAGTTGGCATGGACAGGGGCAAAGAAAGAATACCTCCCACCCCTGCACTGCTGAAGCTGACTTGACATCCCTTCCCCTCTCCCCGCAGGGGTTAGAAAGGGTTTCTGCTTAGACAGCGAGGCACCAGAAAGGAGGTGCCTTTGCAACATCTGAAAGTACAATTTTGGAAGCATGCCAGTTTGGCTGAAAGTAAAGTATGTCGGATTCGCTTGCCTAGGGAGAGATTTAAAACATCCATTTATATAGCAATATAAAATGCACTTCACTTTATAACTGTGCAGATGCTGCCTATGTAATCAAAGCAACCCGATGATAAAGGTCTGAAGAAGAACTGCTTTAAACTCTGATGTATTATGCATGCTTCAAGGGAGGAATGTTTTCTTTCTTTTATGCACCTGACTCTGCAGCCATGCCTGACTGGCTGTTTAAAGGACTGAGCTAAAGTTTATCATCAGTAAAACACCCATTCCTTCAGACACATTATGCAACTGTTATATGCCAGGCACTAGGGATTAAATGGAATCATATATAATAGTAGTTTAAAAACACTTCTGATGGTAATAATAAGGACATTAAGCATCATTGTTTGTGTCCCCAGTGTTCCTCCTCCCTTCTCCAGCAACAGCTACTTTCACTGCAGATTCGCCCCTCACCCTGGGGGTTCCTTCCCCTGGCTGGCAGGACACGTGACTCAGGCCCAAACCATTCATTATATTGCATATTCCTCTGTCTACAGAG